AACTACGTATTTTCAAAATCGCCTTCTTGAATGCACTTCGGCCAACTAAAATATCCAGCATGACCTTTTACATAAGTTATAAAAGCTCGAGCATTTTTTTCGTCTCTTTATGTTGAACTCCATTTTTATTATCTCACGTTATAAAACAGTTCTGTTCCCACATTCTGTTTACTAATTGTTGCAAGGGCTTGGGTGAATCTTGAATCTTATTTTCCACACTTCTGAAATAATTTTCAAATGGAAAACAACTAAATTTGTCTAATGAACAACCAAACTTCTTGACTTCATAAGCTAAATGGATTATATTATGAACAATGAATGTTAATCTATTTGATCATTATAAATCAGAATAATTAATAACAAAAAGTTTTAACAAGTCCCCTGCCAAACTATTTCAGTGGAGACATGCTTCTGGATCACATAGAATTCTAATGCCTAAACTAAAATGCAGAAAATTTAAAAACAATTGGTTACTTAATACAGTTCTCAAAATTACTAATCCAGAATACAATGAAAATTGTCTGTATTCAGTGGCCTTCCAATGTTTGTGATACTCTAGTCTTCTAGGCAATCTGGAAAATTCCGAAGGGAGCAACTTTCTATGCTTTATTATATAATTGTTCATATTCCTTTTTTGTTCTTCCGTAAAGCGAATATATCTAGATCCGCACATCCAGAGAGCAATTAGGCGCTTTGTCACCCCCAAACACACCATGTGCATATAATCCAATGCAACTTGGGAAACCATACCGATCCCCAAATCCTCTAGAATAGATACACCAGTATGGTGCTCCGAGTGCTGTTTTGATTTAAATGATTGATCCGTTCTCAGCATGGCATCAGTTTCCGTTAAAACTACGTGTTTTTTAAAAATGCCTTCTTCAATGCACTTCGGCCAACTAAAATATCCAGCATGACCTTTTACATAAGTTATAAAAGGTCGAGCCGGGCTATCGCATACAATTTTTGATATTAATACATTACACTTTTTTTCTCTTAAATACAACACCACGTTTCAAAATTGTATTCATCTCATTCACAAATTGGCTCAGGTAGATATTGGCATCAGCTGGCTTTCCATTGCCATGTTGTACACCAGCCATAAATGGCTCGACTTTCTCATAAATATCTAACACTAACATAATAGGCCAAAACTGCTATTTGAGCTGTTTGATAATGACATTCCATCACAATTTATTTGTAGGAAAATGTTCTCTGGACATTCTAAAAAATGTTTCTTTATCGAGCCAAAAATTCCATTTTCCACACCAAAATGCATATAAAATCCCCTATTCATTTTTTGGATAGCTTTTGTTGCATGTTTTGGTGTTCCCAATAATGTTCGAGCATCCACAGGTAGGTCCTTGTGACCTTGCTTAACCAAAATTTTTAAAAGTGTACTTACAGTATTCAAAGTCAAATTGTCTCTCTTTGCCAAGATATATCTTCCGCTAAAAAATATGGACAGTATCATAGAGGCCAAAAAAATTATCTGAAATGGCATTATTTTCTAAAGGTCGTATATCTTCGGCAAAGGCAGTATGGATAGTAACACCAATCTTTTGATAAACAAAAATATCTGAAGTGGCATTATTTTCAAAATGTTGTTGCTCCAAGTTAGTATCCAATTGATTTAAAAATGTACTAGAACCTTCATAAGTATTTCTACTGTTCTCTATATAATTATTACTTCTTACTTCTTGTTCAGAAGATTTATGGGCCGATTCTCGGTTTCAATTTTACGACAAGTTCACACTTATTTCGTTTAAAATGTCATTATAAGCAGTGGCGGATTAAGCTATCTGCCGGCCTAGGCCCTATAAAATCAGCCGCCCTTTTTAATAGACAAAAATTTATCTTATTATTTAAAAAATATATTTTTATTTTAAATTACTTAATATATTTTTTATTTTTTGAAATAATAATTGTTAAATAATACAAATAAATGTTTATTAAATATTAACAATATAATATAAATATAATACTCATTTTTTTAAAACTATAATTTATAGCTATTCGTAAATATTTTTTTCTGGATTTTGTCTGAACAAAAACATCAACAATATCATTGTAATCAATTTCTTGAACAAGTTGTGCTTCGATAGTCAGTATTGCTAAAGCACTAAGTCTATCCTGGCTCTTTTCAAAGTAGAAAAAGACCTTTCTCCAGAACAATTTGTAACAGGATTACTCAAAAAGATCCGTAAAGCAATGTCTATATTTGGATAAACTTCACGAAGATTATTAGAATGCAAAAAATTATATATTCCTTGTGCGGAACGAACATCTTCCTTACTTGAAAAAGATTCTATGAGTAGGTGTTGTAAATGAATGCATTAATTTCCTAATGTATCTTCCAAATCTTCAGGATACTTAGTGACTAAGTCATCTGCCCGAATTTTTAATTCTCTAGTTTCCATTTCAAATAAATTGTCAAAAATATTAAATTTTTCATAGAGCGTATGATAAGCACTTTTACGGCCTGCCAATTGAACACTTAAAGTGTCTAAAATTCGATAATAAATATTTATTCGAAAATTTTCTTCTCTACATAAAAATACTCTTTCATACTCTTATGACTCGTCTGCCTGAAATTTTCGGGTTCTTTTACGATGATTGTCATGATAATAGTTTTTTACCCCAGAAAGTGCTTTTTCTTTTTCCTCGTATTCCGAAAATTGTTTAGCTCTCATGTCCTGTAAAAATAATGCCAAAGAACTATACATTTGTGAAACAGATGATAAATTAGATTTATTTTAGAGTTCCACTTTATCAAACCGCTGAACCTGCCTTCTTATAAATTCAATTAATGCTTCAATACGTCAATATAAGTGAAGTAAAATATGCATAAAAAACTTCTTTCATTTCTGAGATCTCCCAAAATTCTTACATATTTTTAATGAATATCCATTTTTGCAAATTGTTAATATCAAGAGCGATAGAATTGAGTAAAAATCAAAGCAAAACCTTAATAAGTCAATAAATGATCTTCTAGAGATTAACAGCAAATTCGCCGGCTACCAAGAAATTCTAGCGTTAATATTAACGTTAAAACAATATGTGATTGTATCATGTCACATTTCCTCAAGTAAAAACTTGTTGCCAAATTCAATACCTAGAAATTTTAAATATCTGTACCGTATGGTTCAACAGTAACTCTGATTGCTTTACGATTGCAGCTCGTTATTGCGCAGTTTAACATGAAAAATCTATGACTAAGAGGTCTGGTCAAAATACAACATGAAAATTTTCATTTTCGATTTTTTGCAATTACTATAATTTAGCCTCAGGTAAGTTACTGAGCTCATTACATCGAAATTGATGTCGATTGACGCAAACTCGAAAAGCTCAAAAATATTTAAAAAATCTATTTTTTTCAAGGTTATTCTTAAAAAAAAAAATACTAACAAGTAATCAAAATACTTACAACAGATGAACCTAATTTTTGCTGAACAAATTTTTTTGAACTTGTCACAGTTGTCATAAATATTAGAAATTTTTGGAATTTTATTCAGTAAACACTCTTGTTTTAAAGATTCTTCTGTTCTCCTTTTACGATATTCTGCACCACTTAGTTTTTTTCGGTACCCACTCATTGTAATTGTAAATAAAATGATTAAATTCAGACAAACCGAACAACTTAGTTAAAAAAGAGTCTAACTCAAAATAATATCTAATTTAAATCTTTAATGGTACTGAACACAATAATAAAATTATAAGACTTTTTACTTAAACGACTATCGTAAAACTGAAATAATTGCTGCGTTTTGTTTATAGTTCGATCTTAGATTTATACATTTGTCATTATTTTATTTCAGCCACTTAACCCCGTGCTCTCCAACCTGTGGTTCACGCACCCTTAGCGGGTGCGTGCGTGCGGTTTTTCCAAGAGTGACGTACTGTTTCGTAAATAATATTTTCGAAAATAAAACATTTTTTTTTCAAATTCTAACCATTTTTGCGATGAGCACCCCAATCTAATAAAAAAATGCGCCCTATTTTATTTTTCTTTAACTGATATTATCAGACTACAAATTAATATGCAATATTATGAAAAAATATACATAAAAATTCATGACTCTTTCAATTTTTATGTATATTTTTACATAATATTACATATTTATTTCTGGTTTGATAATATCAGTTAAATGTTAGAATATTTATGAAATGAAATTGTTAGAAAAATAAAAGAGGGCGCAATTTTTCTTTATTAGATTGGGGTGCGCATCGCAAAAATGGTTTGAAACCACTGACTTGAACACGAACAAACACAGTTAGCGGGCGAACCCGAGCACTGCTCGCCAAAGTTATTGTTTTTAGGCGATAAAGATCGACTACAATGGTTCTTTATTGGGATATGTTTAGCTTAGATATGATAAGAGCAGATGAATTATCAATCGTTGCGGTAATAAATTAAATTTGAACGACATTTGAGATCACGAATAAACACTTAAAAAGTCTTTCTGGATAGCCATCAAGAGACATGTTATTTTTATACGATGTCTGTGTTATTTTTATTAATCAATGATTACACTCGAGCATTACGACTTATATTCTATTTTATATAACACTATCTGTAAATTTATAAAAAAAATCGGGATTAATCCTTAAAATAAATTATCGAGACATCTTATCGGGTTTAAATTTTTTTTGACATTCTGAAAAATTTGCCGCCCCCCAAATTCTGCCGCCCTAGGCCCGGGCCTCACGGGCCTATGGGGTAATCCAGCACTGATTATAAGTGTAACAGTTATTCTCGGCGGTATGTGTTTTATCATATGATAACATTAATGTTACGCTAGCCCTCTGACCGATAAACGTAGTCAGAAACACGCACTTATCGCTATAACATTGACGAGAAGTTGTACTATGAACAGATTTGACATTTGCTATTTTGACATTTATGCGTTTAACATGTTTTTTTGAGGTTATGATTAATGTAAGCAAAGTGATATTATTAGGTTTGGTTTAGCTTTTATTGGGAATTTCAAATTGTTAGTATGGCGTTTTTTGGAATAATTTGGGCAGCAGATAGTAGGAGAAGAAGGTATGTTTGAATTTTAATATAATTCATACTGTTATTGGAATGAATGTATTACTCAAAGATATTAAAATTATTAAATGCCACAACATTTTAGATACAGGCAAAGATACGTCCTTAGGTATCTCAGAGATGCAGATAATGTATGGGAAGTGAATGATGAGATTTTTATAAAAAAAATTCGATTAACGAAAAATGTTATGAAAGATTTAATAGAACTGTTGGAACCACATGCGGAGACTCATACAGCATCATGGAGTATCCCTTTTTATTTGCAGGTATTGGAAATTAAAATGAATTAATTTTTTTGAAATACTAATAACTGAAATTTCATTATAGGTACTTGCAGCGATTCATTTTTTTGGTCATGGCTCATATCAGACTGATGTAGGCAATTGCCATTTAAATTCTATGAGCCAGCCTTCAGTCAGTCGCTGCATTAAAACAGTGACTGATTTAATTATAAAGCATGCTACTCCAAAGTACGTGAATTTTCCTAAAACCCCATCAGAAAGAGATGAAAATAAAAAGAGGTATATGTTACACCACTTCGTGTACATTGAACATGGTCTGTAATATGTTGCTATTTAACAGATTTTATACGAAGTTTGGCATGCCTGGCATTATTGGGTGCATAGACTGCACACACGTAAGTATAGTGGCTCCCAAAAAAGATCACCCCGTGGCACCAGCTGCTATTTATATGAATAGGAAGGGCTATTACTCAATTAATATTGAAGTAGTATTATTTTATTTTGCTTAAGAATTTTGAAGACTAACATGATAATAAATAATATTAGATATGTGATGCCGATGAACGGATATTGTTTGCGAGCAGCAGATATCCTGGCTCCACTCATGACGCAGCCATTTGGAAGGTTTCGGCAGTCAGATCCCTGCTAACTCGTAATGCTGAGGATGGGACATGTTTATTGGGCAATTCAAGAATATATTTAATATCACAAATCAAATAAGGAAAAAAATATATATTAGTTGTACATTTGCAGGAGATTCAGGTTACCCATTGGAACATTGCCTACTCACACCATATAGGACACCAGTAGGCTCTACCCAGGAGAAATACAATAAGTTCCACAAAAAAACTCGCAAGGTAATAGAGAGAACATTTGGTGTTGTTAAAAGTCGTTTTCGATGTTTGCATCGTCATAGGACACTGCATTATACACCTGATGTGGCAGGAAAAATTGTATATGCAGTATTTACTCTGCATAATATATGCAGAGAAAATAATATTCCTCTGGATGAAGAACTGACGGAATATAGTAATGATAGTGGAAATGGTTAGATACCGAATAATTGTATTTCAAATGTGAAGTTAAAATTAATTGATTTTAATATTTCAGAAGTATACAATGAGGCAGATAATATGGCATATAATATCAGAAATTCTTATGCCAGAAGATATTTTTAATACCATATTATTCACTTAAAAAAAAGATTTTATTTTTATAGGTACATGAATGTGATTATTTTAAATAAATAAATAAATATATATATATATATATATATAAAGGAATATAAAACAAAATTTATTGGCTGTTAAATCTATTTTTTAATATATCATTGAGAATTTTCAATTGATCGGCTAAGCATTGCAGCGCCTCTGTCTGTTTCTCCATCATGTTAGTAAGAGACTCTGTTTGTCTTTTCAATACGAATTCCATTGAGTTTACGAGGTGATTTAATTCATCTTAAAATAATGAAATGCAGAATGTATCACATAGTAATATAAGTAATATTTAAAATAGAAGAAAAATTATACTTACTATTGCCAGGAGTTCTTCGTCTCTGCATTGGTGGTCTAGGGGCATCATCTAAAAATTCTGGAGGTGGCATTATAACTTCTACCTCAGGATCAACATTAACAGAATCAAGTTCAGCCTCGTTGCTGACAGATTCATTGAAAGAATACTATTAAAAAATTTAATATGTGTATATGTATATATACATATATATACATATATATATGTATACGTACATATATATATGTATATATACATATATATTCGATATATATATATATATATATATATATATATATATATATATATTTAATGAAATTACATTTAGTCCAATATCCATTTCCAGATCTGGATGGCCATCAATTGACCCAAGACCCCAAACACCTAAGGCCTTTTGTTCGACATCCAGGATTCAGTAGGCCTATGAGGCCCATGACCACATGAGTTTAACAAATTGGTCAATTCCTCCCACTTTGCTCTGAAATAATCCTTGTCGAACGAGGGGCTTAATTTATTAGTAACGAATTGTGGGTTGCTGATTAAAAAATCAACGTATATTTCATACTGCGCCGGATTAGTTTTTTTTGCCCTTTTCATTTGCGTATCACTGGCCATTTTGAATGTAATATATATTTTATATATTTACCAAAAAAAAAAAATCATGAACAACGCTTTTCGACTGAAAGTATCGGTACTAGTATATCCAAAATTGAAAAAACCGTTCGCGTCAGCACCGTAGAGATAGATTATTGCCGATTTCGAGAGTACAAACACAGAGAGCCAACATCAAAAAACCAAAAACTGTGTTCGCTCATGTTACGCCACAACACGATTCACTCTCATAAAATCGGTGCGCCGAGAACAACTAATCTTCAACATACACTTACGCGAGGCATGTTATGCTACCATGCAAGTGCGATAACAGAGCGTAGCCATGTTAAGGCAGAATCGGTCCATTAGTTTCATTTCGATTTCGATTTATATTACTTAAAATATGTTTTTTGGTTTGAGCAACAATCTGGCGTATTCTTCATTTAATTTAATTAAATTAGTTAATTTAATACGTGTGTTAATGTTTTAAAACATGTGTTTATTTTAATTTTTGTGTGGTTAGTCATGTCGCCAGCCTCTGTCATAGTTTAGTAATAGTTGGTATCATGGTAACACTACGTGTTACCTAAGGTTGGTAGACATGCACCAACATAAGCAAGTTCACGCTAAAACAACACGTGTTTTAAGTAGTGTGAACAATTCATTCTTTGTGGCGCATCCCGGAGTGAAGGTTACTTAGTTAGATTTATTTATCGTGTGCAGTCATTGCGAGTTTAATTTAATACTATGAATCGTCAGCTGGGGTAAATTAATTTTGTGTTTCAAGAATATATTATATTAGATACGTATGCTTTCACTTTTTAATTTTTAGAACAAAACCATTTGCTGTCATTGTTGACAAATCCACCTTCTACCCGGAGATTCTGAGTAATTGGTTGATTATTAACAATGATGGTTCAGCAAGTGCTGGTGGCCTTTCAGAAAAAACCGTACGGGTCTAATGTGTAGAAACGTGTAGAGCCACAAGATACATGGAATCAAGTATCTATGGAATTAGTTGGGTTTTATGGTGAGAATATTATTTACTAACAAAAAAAAATTACCAACTGTAAGAGTAAAATCAATCATCTGCTTTAATTCAATGTACATCTTTTAATACTTTTAGACAGCTATGAGTCAGCACGCAAGCGTGATGGATAAATAATCGTATTCAATCTAGAATTAACTTGGTTTAAGAGATCTTGATGGATTCTAGAAAATACCACAACTTTAGTACAAATGATTCTCAAAAAACTAATGATTTCATGAAAAAAAAACAACCAATTTCTCATCATAATACCTCTGAAAGAATACGTATAAAAGTATATATATATGAAAATTCGAGGTATTTTTCTGACTAATTATTATTGTTTATTATTTTTTCGTTACGCAAATATTGATAGATGTATGATTAATTAAGGAGCTGTCCAACCAGAGGTCTTTCGAGCCCTTTAACCCTTCGCCGTTTTACAATAAGAGAAGTTACGGTAAAATTAATAATAGAGAAAGTTGTAGCTCATTTAATCACCTTTAAAATAGTGTATTACAAGTTCTGATAAAATCAGAATTAAAAGAGTAATAATTCAATTAATGCTGTGGATGGTGACGGAGTGCAAATTGTTAAAAACATTGAAATTAAGATAAAGATTAGCCTATTTCCAAAATATCAAGTAAATTGGAGCACAGTAAAAAAATTCACAGAGCAATAATTTTGTTGATTGTAAGTTGAATAGAGCACATGTGAACAGGATTTGACAAATTAATTCACTTCAAATATAAACTTAAGCAATAATGTATATTGATTTATTGGAGAAAAAAATGTAATTTAGATATTAAAATTACTAAAAGCCAGTTAAAATATGGTACGAAATTATAAAAATTATAGGCAACATTATTGAAGCATATATTTTGGGTAGAAAAATAAAAGGTGATATTGCACCTTTGCCGCGAATGCTATATATTAATTCTTTCTGAATTTGTTGTACTTTTTAAAAAATTTCAATTTTCAACACGTGTATCTTATGCTATAACCATAAATCACAAAGGCAGACGATTATTTTTAGTGTGATAAATTTGGAAAATCAATGTTTTAGTCGTGAATAAACAAAAAATCATTCATTTATACATCCACATTTACAGGTATGACTAAAAATACTATATAACCCTTAAATGCAATAAAATAAATTGAGCTATTGGAAATAAATTTGTTCTATAAATCGCAGTGTATAATTTTTAATATACAATTTTATTGAACATTTTTTAATATTTTTTAAATGAATAATTAAAGTGTTAACTGTGGGAATTGAGAACAATCATTTTATTTGAAATAGTTCTGCATTCAACATCACTCATATATTGGTGTAAATAGTAATTCAAAAAACAGTAATTATTATTTTTAACTAAGCAGTAAATATTAGTATAAAAAATTGAAAAATTGTAGACATGAGTACAGAACAACGTCTGTCGGGTCAGCTAGTATATATATATATATATATATATATATATATATATATATATATATATACCTTGTCATAGACTTGAATAGTCCCGGGTGTTTTCTTAACAAGCGGCCCAATTCACGTATGCTCACCCTTCTGGTGACAGGTGCGATATCTCTGTAAATAAACTGATGTTTAAAAAATATTTTTTAACTTATGCGGTTCAAGGAATTATGGTAGGTGTAACAGCTATTCCTGGTGACATATTTTGTTTTATATGGCAAAATGATTGATCTAGTGGTAATATCAAAAAACCAAACCGAGCTGCAAAACATGATGGACAGAATCGTCGAAATGGGTAGAAGATATGGGACGGAAATCAGCATCAGCAAATTGGAAGTGATGAGAGTATCAAAACGAGATGATACTCTGAAGATAACAGTAAAAAATCAAAAATTGGAAGACGTTGATCATTTCAAATATTTAGGAAGCATTCTGACCAGAAACGAATACAGCACGAAAAACATCAGGACAAAGATCGCAAGCGCCAAGGTGGAGTTTGCGAAGTTGAGAACACTACTGAGAACCAACCAAGTCTCGACTTGTGGATGATATTGATAAAAAAAATGTTATGTCTAGAGCATAGCTCTTTACGGATCAGGGACATGGACTCTAAGAAAAAGAACTATTTGGAGAGTTTTAAAATGTGGTGCGCAGGAGACAGGTGAATGGAGAAAAAAAAGTGGACTGACAAGATAACAAAAGAATAAGTCCATAAAAGACTTCACTGAGAACGATCATGAAAAGAAAAGGAAACTGAATAGGACCTATTCAATTCAATCGAAAAGAGTACCTCCTACACGACGTGGTCCAAGAATACATAATCCTGAACATATGCTTATTTAAGACATGATATGTTAAAGCAGGAGTCTGCAAACAAAACTTAGCTGTGTTATCCGACAATTGGCCCAGAAATGTCAAAATATCTTACTTCATGCGTTTATAAATTATATTCCTGTATAGGGACTTGATACACAATTCTAGTTCCCTATACTTTTCATTTAATTTATTCCTTTCTGAGTAAAGGGATTTTAAGCGACTCAGATCACGCCTCGTCTCCTTCGCTTCTTCGGCCTGAATTAGCTTCGAGTACCGATTCATTTCTGAAGCCGCTTGTTGAAGTAACCCTGCCAACTCTGTAGTTATGGACAAGCCTGAATAGATATATAAAAAATCAGTAAATCAAATGGTAATTTTAAAATATTTTTTCAACTCTTTTGCCAATGTATTAATTTTTAATTTCTAGTGATGTTTAAATGTAACTTAAAAAATTTTAATATGTACAAAAATGTCTAGATATACATAAATAAATGTATATGTCGCCTACTGGCAAGGGTTAAAAATGTACAAAAATTAAAAAAAAATATCTACAAATGGCTACATATTTTTGAAATTGTCTAGAAGTTATTTCCAATCTTCCACAAATTATTTATTCGTTTAACATATATTGCTAAATTTGTGAAGTCTTATGATGGAAATGGAGACATGAGATGCAGCATGGATATTATAAAAATAAAAAGTGAATCTGAATAAAATCGATCTCGTAGTCACTCCACGATATTTAAAACCGATATTAACAATTTGTATTTACAATTGCAAGTATTAAGAAAAATTTGGAGGGTAATTAATTACTATTTACTCATGCAATAAAATACATTTAACTACTTTTTATTATTCAACAGGCAACACATCATGTAATGCCTAAAATGTAATAGTATTGTCTTTGTTGTTGACAAATATTTCTAGTTGGAAAACAACAGACACTCAAATACATATCAACAATACATACAAATTAATATATCAATGTGGTAATTTGAATGTAAAATTATATAGAATGTATATCAGTATGAATTAAACATTTTGGACATCTTGTAAATATTTATATCTTCCAGTCAATATTTTTCATGCTAGAAATTTCAATAATTTAAATAAATAATTAAACTTTTGGTTCATGAACTGTCAACAGATTATCTGAAAAGAAAAAAAAATTAATATTTACATAATTATTAAAGAATGAATGTAATTCATAATTATTAAATCATCATATTGTTATATTGAAATATTAAATACTAAAGTAGTATGACTTGCGTTTGATTTGTCATAAACTATTATGTTGGTAATTTGAGTTTTTAAACAGCTCAAGAACTGACTGAAGTCGCGATAAAGTGTCAACACGTTTTATTAAAAAAATTATAGGTATATTATATTTGCATAATGTTTATTTTAATGTTTTAAAACACCATTTTAATTGTTCTTTTGATAATTAAATACTTTAACTATAGGTGTATGGCATCGTGCCTTAAGGAAAATTGCCGGAACTTCTCGTACCGTAACGAAATATTAAATGTTTTCAAATTCATTTTAATAAATACTGTAACATTGTCAAATATTTATAAGTCACCGTCGCAGTACTGTGCGCCAAACACAGGAGTTTTCTTATTAAAATCGATAATTATGGAAACATCGCAGAAACCATCGCCTTTTCTAATTTTGATACGTGCCTTTAAAATTCCTCTGTACTGGGCGTCGTCTCAATCTCTTTGAATCGACATTGGTGTTTCTAAGAGTTTTCCGCTTTCTATCTAGTTCTGTTATATTATCTGGGCAAATGTTTGGAAAAAAATATAACAGTTTAGAAATTGATGTGAATTTTTTCTCAAATCAGTACTCAAAATTACTGCAAATATTATAGTTATTGTCGTTTTTTATCATGAAATGGAAACCTCTGCTTTATTTGGTTTTCTGCCTCAATATTAAACTCATCCTAGTCTAATCTTTCAGTTTCTCTTTTCAACCGAATTATATTTGGAATCATTCCTCTAGCATGTATTTCTAATAAAGGTAAATGCATTTGCAAATCGTTTACATCTACGCTTAATACCTTTTGCTGTTTGGAATTCGAAATATTTTCTATCGTATTCAACTCTTTGTTTGAAAGTTCCAAATATATCGGTTGAATGAAACATTCCAAAATTATCGCATATGCTGTGAATATCTGATTATTTAAAACGTACAACTTTGACTTTTCTGTCTCCATTTCTTTATCCAAATTTACGAATATTGGTAGAGCAAATCGCAGGAATTCCAAATATAATTATGTTGTCGAGATTAGAGAGATTAGAGATCGCTATATATATATGCTATATTGGCGAAACAACAGAACATTATTAAACGTTCAAAACAACACGATAAACGATGATCACAGAACATTTAAAACTAAACAACCATACGTTCAATTTTTATGACGCAAAGGTTCTTTATCATGAGTCGAAAGTCTCACAAAGACGATATGCGGAATCGACTTTTATTTTCTTAGACAAACTTAGTATTAATTCGAGTTCCAATTTGACTCTTCTTCACAAAACACACAAGTAATTAACGCACAAAACGCAAACAAAAACATATCAAGAGAGTGTTTCTTTGTAACAAAGCATGTTAGTGTAAAAATAAATATGAGTTATACTTCGAAAAAGAATTAATTGGAACAATAATAAATTGTGGAACATCATATCTTGCAGAATAACAATAATTAATTAGTACACTCCTGAAATAAATACTTCAATTATAAATATATCACAGCAAAAATTACAGCAATATAGAACTATAATTAAATAACAAAAACTTGCAAATGTTTTTATCAGGAGCGCGATTTTCGTTTCAAAACTTCATTACATGCAATTTTTTAATCCATAATGTTCGTGTTTTATGAAAGTAACAATTATAGATTTTAAGCGAAATGCAATTTTTGAGGAGGCGACAAATCATGTACCCAAAATCTTAAATTACACAATCTTATATAAAAGATAATGAAAAGTTGTATAGAAAACAAAACCTGAAATATATTAACCAGTAAAATTTATTTAAATGTTAAATTTAAATAATATTGTATATCGATTTGATAGAGTTTTGCAAGGCAGACCACCATATAAAAAGCATAACATTTCCTCGAAACTGGTTTGCGAGCGACACATGTTTCGCTCGTTTAAATAGTTTAATTTTATGTGCTACTATATGAACGTATATATTTATAAAAAATAATTTTTGGTACGAGAAGTTCCAGCAATTTACCTTAAGGCACAATGCCTTAATTGCCTTAAGACAGAATTCCACTTACAGCTAGTTCATAATATTTTCAAAAACACTTGAAAGTAGTATCTTCGATTATACCACTAGTTATTTTATATGTCTACTAAATTAACGTTTGATTTATATTTTAACTTCTTTACAATTAGCACAAATATTTAAATTTTGATAATTACCTATAGTATATTACTTTCTGATAACATAATGAAAAGAAATAAATGTAATCACACGCATCATTTTTTACAAAATAACAGTTGCAGATAATTATTTTTTATGGAGATACATAGTTCAAATCTGTTAAATTAGTAAATGAATTAGAACGAACAATTTATATTTTTACAATAAGTTAATTAATACAATCCAATGACAAGGAAAAAGATCGAATCAATTAAAAAATTATAATTTACAAAATCAATCGAACTTTCTTATTAAAAACGACAAAAATTAATTGTGTAGTTACCTAATCGCGACTTGTCAATAAAAAAACTAAAACCGCGTTTGAATTTTTATCATTCGAGAAGTTAGTAAAAGAACATACATGTCAATTTTATATTATTCATTTAGTTCGTTGGTTGCACTGCTTAGATTTTCTGGTGCGCCGAGAGATGTACAACGTAATCGCCATTTTGCGTACAGTTGTTTCGAAGTGTGTTTCAAAGTTATTAACAAACTTTAAAAATGAGTACTAAAACGTTATTAAAAGGATCCCAAACGGAAGTAGATTGTCTAGTAAAGTTTTTATTTTATTGTGCATTCATAAAGCTAATTCTACAAATGTTTCAAATACTTTTCGTTTTTTTCACAGAATACCACAAATATACTCGTGAAGCCTGAACTAGCTTTCAAATCGGAAACTAATTCTATGACCTTAACTAGACAGTTATTTGCAGTTTCAATTAGTGCTATATGTTATCTGCGAAAGATTTATTCAAAGGAATATTTTCGCCCTCGTAAAATTGGAATCTTGTCGATGCATATGTTGCAAAATGTCAAATCAGACCCCAAAATAACGAGATTTCTTAAGTGGGTTAAAGGATGCTTTGATGCAATGAAAAAAGGATATGTAATTATATATTGTATATGTATAATGTGTATATGTCGCAAAATATAATTTGTTTTTTATAATCTATTGTAGTTGCGAGATATCATTGTGGCTGTACAACCGCCCGGACAAGAAGACATTGGAAAAGCGTTGGAAAGTTATACGTTTAGAATAAAATATAGTGACGCTTGCAATTTTGAAAGTAATACAACGTTCGCCAATAGCCGGTAAAAATTAAAATTTATTATATATACATATATGTGGGTATTAATTTTTTTTTTGTCAATATATTATTTCGAGTATTAAAATCATAATAATCGCGCATACCATCAATAAAAAACCATAATTTAAAAAAAATAAAAATTTTACAATCCATACGTTTTGGCGATAATCCTAGCCTGCATTCAGTAGAAAAATGTGTTAATATAAGAGTTAAAAACAGAAAATTCATCAATCCATGGTATTAGGATATAAGAACAATAAGAAATATAGACATTAATATTGTAACCATAGATAAACAAGTATAATTGATTGTAACTTATATAATATCTTACAGAATACTAACAATAAAAATATCACAAATAGTAAATGTGCAATATATGTGTTATCTATAACTTAGTACACATATATGTTATATCTTGTCCTGATTGTAAAATAAGTTTTTAAGAAAAATTTGTTTTTTTATTGATTTATGCCCTTTGATTTCTGAGCTTTTGCCTTTTGAGTTATGAGACTTTGTTAATACATATGTTAACACCAAATGAAAATATAAATATACATTAGGGTGGTCCTTATTATGAACATTTTCAAATTTCCTTCCTTCCAGGGGCTCAAATTGATAAAAAAAATCTCTAAAAATTTTAGCTTTTAATTTTATCTTTTAGATATTGCGAAATTGAATCAAAGTTTGATATGGAATTAGCATGGAAAAAAAATCAAAAATTTTAAAAATGTTTTTTAGATATTACTTTTTTAGATATAGTTATTAGATATATTATATATATAGACAAAGACAAAATAATTTTTTTATTCAATTTCGTGTAGGTATTGTAATGGGCGCTTTTAAATTTTTTTGCAACCAATTTATAATAGAATATAATTACTTTTTAAGTGAATTTAAGTTGAGTTACTTTAAAAATAAAAGAATTTACTGATCTGCATTCTATTAATTTTTTAATATAACATAAACCTTTTAGTACACACACTACATGTATTTAATATTTATTACTTCTAGCAAATATTTAAAAATAAAGTCACTTACTTTTTGCGATTTAAAAAATTGGTACCCAAGACAAATGTTAAATATATTGCTCAAATTATTAGTTAATTTTGTGAATCATTTTAGTATTTGTAAGAAATAATAATATTTTTTTATAAAATACATCTAGAATATAAAAAATGATTCAATATTCATGTCATCGCCCAACATATTATTTTAGGTTATTATTAAGTTAGTTAACTACTTATTTATTATATGTTATTAGAGTCTATAGTAAAGTGATCAAATTTAATAAACAAAATTTGACTTATCATAGCGCTAACATAGTAACACATAATTATATTGGTACTGTTTTTCATTATCGCCAATTGTGTGAATATATTGATCAGTATTCTTGGTAATTCAATTTTTTTTTTATAATCACATAAAGTAATCTATATAAAAGCTACCCCAGATTGAGAATAATTTACAGTTTAGTTGTGATTTATTGAAATTGTAAAGTTAATTTCTGTTATGCTTGGTGTAGTCAAGTAACTTCACTATTTACAAACATGAATATATTATATGTGAATATATGTAATAATAAAAAAATAGTTGTAAAATTTATGATTTTATTTAAGGCTCATAAAGATCGACTCATCCAAGATATCTCCAAAAACACTTGAAAGCAGTATCTTTGATTGTTTATACAATTGCTTAGAAATTGTAAAAAATATGCCAGAATTACCGAAGGGTTGCTCATTAGCCATGATGTTAACATACTATGATGGTAAAATTGTTATTCATTTATTTTTTGGTATTTATTTTGATTTATACTCTCGTACTTTTAAAATCCATTCATTATGTAGGAACTCCTGCTGAGTATCAACCGCCTGGTTTTAAGGCTTGTTCATATCAAGCATTTGAGTATCCACCAGATCTTTATAATATAGAAGTTGGTAAATGCTTCACGCCATACCACTCTATTAGTATGGGAGCGATTGCTAAGGTAATTAATTTTAAAAATATTATAGCTTTTATTGCAAAAGTTCTTCAATTTCTGAATTATATTACTGTTGTAGTGTTTTAATATTTTCAATAAATATTTTTTTTAGTTTGTAGATGTAGATATTCATACCTCGGATGCTGGTAAACAAACAAATGAAAATTGTGAAGTTGTGGAAAACTCCCAAACGGAAAATATATGCAACACGTCGGAGGCCGCTGTGAGTGTTTTTAAATATAAGTCAAAATTTACAATTATAGTCAATATATTTTATAAAAATTTGATGCAATAATAAATATATATCAGAATATGATAGTCATTGGTGGATCTAACAGTCCAGAAGTTATGATGCAGTTAAATACAATGACTGAAGATATGGGTATTTATCATGATACTTCTCTTGATGCTGTGGTAAGCATATATTTGCTTTAATGTTGTAACCACATAAATTTGCAACTTTTTAATGAAATTAAAAAATGACATTTCTCGAACATTAAGTTTTGGTATTACAATATATTTCGTGATTTTAAGTTTCTTATTTTTAGATAAATAGGTACATATATGTATACTATATATGTAATTAATATAATAAAATATAACTAAAAATAATTAATATTTAGTGAGTAATAATATTTAGTGTATAATAATAATAATATGTTTGCAATGAAAAAACAAATATTTCATCATCATTAAATAAATCAATTCATTCAAGTGATAATATTCTCTATGAATTAATGTAAAGCACTATTTTACATTTTCTGCTCAAAAACGTAGTTATATAACTTCTTGGCGAGATGATTTCAAACTAGCTGTAAGTGGAGTTCTGTCTTAAGGCAATTAGGGCATCGTGCCTTAAGGCAAATTGCTGGAACTTCCCGTACCAAAAATTATTATTTTTTTAAAAACGATTAACATCTTTGAAAAAAATTTACTTTAAAAAAAATAGATTTTTGAGAAACTATAAATTTGACAAAAAATAACTTTTTTTTTGAAAAAAAAATTTTTTATTTGAAAAAAAAAAAATTTTTTTTGAGAAAAAAAATTTTTTTTGAAAACAAAAAAATTTTTTGGAAAAAAATGTTTTCTTCATTTTGACATATTTTGGAAATTATGAACTTTTTTTCAAAGCAATCGCACTGCTTGAACTGCATAGAGACGAAATGTCAAAGCTCGCAAGTGCCGCGCCGCCGTCTAACGCATAAGCATTGGTACGGAACCCATAGAAATGTAAAAAAAATGTATACTTATTGTTAAAATCTCTATAAAATATCTGATAATTTGATGTGCATATGTCTAATGATCATTTTTAACCGCCGAATGGCATTTTTTTTTACTTTTTTCATTAGATCTCCAAAACCGCTAGACCTGCCTTCATGAAAATTTGATCAATTCTACATCTTGTCAATACAAGTAAAATGTTTTTTGAATTATTCAAATCAGACGCTCCGTTCTCTTAAAAACGGAGGTACCGTTTTCGGCACTTTTTGCCCCGTATCTTTGGAACGGCTAGACCTGACTTCGCCAGAAACTAATCAGCACGTCTCCTTATCAATACGAATCGAATGCTTTTTGAATTATTCAAATCGGTTGATCGGTGTTCCCGAAATCGTCGACGAAAATTTGTATCCGCACATACATACACACACGCACACACACACACACACCACACCACACACATACATCCATTTTTTCTAAGGTATGCCAAAATATTCAGAAACCTTTGAAACGTCGAGAAATGCAAAAATTTTCATTTTCGATTTTTTTGCGATTACTATAACTTGCCCTACGGGAAGTTAATTAAAGGCAATGAGATACTGTCAATTATTCGTATGCCATTATCTATCAAAAATGATGTGCCAAATAGAAATTTTACATATATGGCAGAATTTTAATAAGAAATTGGAATTTTTAATTTCATTTCCTTTCCCATGTTTATTGATATAGTTTAAAATAATTGATATATAGTTTAGAAATGCTAGACAGGAAAAAAAGCCAATTTTGATATTTATGCATATATAATATATTTGTAGATGTTTTCTCCGGTTACAAATCGCCAACTCCGACCAATCTATGCAAATTCTTGCTCAATGATTCCATCAGCAGTCAGCAAA